ATGATATATAGTTTGTCTATATTATGTTGTAATTTGCTAATATTCTTATGGTATTTAAAACTTTCCATAAGAAATAAGTCTTCCAAATCACATTGAATATTTGGTTTTATTTTTTGATGTGAAAAACTTATAATTTTTTGATATGGGACACCCTGTAAAATTATAGTTTATTAATTGATGTATTTTTTCCCATTTTAACGATATAGGTATTACACTTTTAAGTTATACCTCTCTATACATAATCCTATTGGTTGGCCAATTATCTGCAGACCAATAAGATTAGAGGTTGCCAAATTTATCTTGTAGTGTAGACAGTTAGGCGGTTGGCCTTCCGCACATTAGGCAACTGGAAAGAAACATTCTAAAAACTTGAATCGTCAATCAGTTGCTTATTAGTTGCCGCTAGTGTATTTCAATGAGCATCCGCACACAACTCAACTCGCTGGTAACGAAACTCGTCGGGTCGGTGATCAGTTAGTCGCAACCCGACATGCAGCGTCGCTTGGCGATTAGTTTCTAGTTTATCTTATGAAAAATCACGCAAAATGGCGGAAACTGGAGAACAATCCTTCAATTTGAGGCTAGTTCAAATCCTATATGCATATTATTTTATTATTTAATGTAGTGCTAAACCTAATACCTCATTTTCTTGTGCCGATTTTTTATTACTTATAAGTGATAATATCTTCATGACTTAATTGAATCATTATTCATTGAATATTTTTTGCCAGGATAATAACAAAATCTTAATCATAATAATAAAATAATAATTTAAACACAACAAAGCTACCATAATTGAGAAGCGACTTCATTTTTCAGTAGCGTCGTGTGCGATCCAAATTCCATAGTTGGTAACTATTTAGTTGGTGATTTAAGTTGCCAATTGGTTTGGTTTCTTTTAAGTTGCTTAAAATGTGCGGAGGGCCTTACCAGTAAATTTATCTAAAAATGAATCAACCGGTCCTTAGACTAATAAATTAAGTTTCCGACCATTGGCAAGATTTTTAATTAGGTATCGCTTTTATGATATCTGCTGTACCGGATAATCCAAAATAACATCAGATTATCCTTGCAATCAAAAACTATTTTTTCTTGACGTTAAAGCAGAGGTGTAACTATAAAGTGTAATACCTATATCGTTAAAATGGAAAAAATATAAGAATAAAGGCCGGTTTATCCTTCTGATAAACTGTCAGGTATGGTAGGTATGCAGTCTGACGGATAAAAACGCAATCTGTAATCTCATTGATCGGTGAGTTATCCGCCAACCAATAGGATTAAAGATCGGTGAATATATCTTGCAGATAGTTACCAGCAAGTTTTTCGGAAGATGAATAAACCAGGCCTTAGGCCCAAATTATGGACCGACTGGTAACGTTATTGGCACCTATATTCTGCTCGTAAAGCTAAAAATCACATTTAATTTGTAGTTTTACCAGCAGGGTAAATTTGCCAGAGACGTTACCAGTAGGTCCATAATTTGGCTCTTATTCGGATAAAGTTGCTGGTAATTATCTGCAATGTGAATTTACCGTTTTATAAATCTATTGGTCGGCGGATAACTGGCCGACGAATGGGAATACATATTGGGTTTTTATCCGTCAGATTGCATACCATAACTGACAGTTTATCAGGAGGACAAACCGGCCTTTCATCATACATTTTTTCCATTGCAACGATATAGGTATTACACTTTATAGTTACCCCTCTGCTTTAACGTCAAGAAAAAATAGTTTCTGATTGCAAGGAAATTTTGATGTTATTTTGGATTATTTGGTACAGCAGATTTCATAAAAGAAATTACTAAAAATCTTACTAATGCTCGGAAACTGAATTTAATAGTCTAATGCCAGTTTATTCATCTTTAGATAAACTTACTGGTAAGGCCCTCCGCACACTAAAAACTAATCGCGAAGCGACGCTGCATGTCGGGTTGCGACTAACTGATCACCGACCCGACGAGTTTCGTTACCAGCGAGTTGTGTTGTGTGCGGATGCTCATTGAAATACACTAGCGGCAAGTTTTTCACACCAAAAAATAAAACCAAATATTCAATGTGATTCGCAAGACTTATTTCTTATGGAAAGTTTTAAATACCATAATAATATTAGCAAATTACAACAGAATATAGACAAACTATATATCATTGGAAAGGTAATTTTATGCATATTCTAAAAATGTAAAAATTTACAGGGTGTCCCGTTTAAAAAAGATGAAGTTTGAGTCATATCTCTTAAACGGTACCTCGGAAAAAAAATTGCAGTACGCCAATGGAATATACGTAAAAAACTACGTCAGATACAATTTTCATCTTTCTGATATCTTTTTTCTTACGCGAGATAATGAATTCCCTCGAAAAGTGAAAATTTCAAGTTTCACCCTGTATCTTCGAAACGGTACGAGATAGAGACTTGTGGTTTACGGCATTGGATCCGTCATAAAAATTGGCCCAGGAATGTGAAATCAAAAAAAATCTACCTCTACGAGTTTAGCAGATAACCCCCAATACCATCTTAAATCGGACACCCTGTACATTGTTTGATTTCAACCTGTTGAGGACCAATTTCGAAAGTTAGCGTTTCATATTCTGGTAGACCATTTGCATAGCTGCTAAAGGGCATAAGCAATGTTTTTTTAAAATTTATACTCAAAAGGTAATTATCAAGCCACTGTATAATCTTTGGAAAATCGGTAATTATAATATTGTAGATCTCCTCCCAAGTGTCCGGGAGGAGACTTATACTGAACCCCGGCGTCATCAGCAAAACTTGTCAACTCGGCCCGGCTGTCAACCTGGTAAATATCATTAATATATATATTAAACAACACAGGACCGAGGACAGTTCCCTGAGGAACGCCGCAAGTTACTGTCAAGGGATCACTGAGAACTCCATTTATTTCCACTGATTGTGTTCTTTCATCCAGATAACTTTGAAAAAGTTTCACCGCATTTTGATCAAAGCCAATATTTCCAAGTTTATTCATCAGCAATTTATGAGATATTGTATCAAATGCCTTGGCTAAATCAACAAAGATGCATATTGAGTACTTTTATCTTCTGATACGTATACTCTTAAAATAAACTCCGCCTGTGCATCGTCCGTTGATTTGCCTTTTCGGAAACCATATTGAGATTTGGACAATATGTTGTTGGCATCTAGATGTTGTACGATACGTTCCTTCAAGATTTTTTCATATATTTTGGAAATATTACTGATCAAAGAAATTGGTCGATAATTTTTAACGTCGGTGGGGTCCCCAGATTTAAATAGTGGCTTTATGGCAGCTTCTTTGAAAATAGTAGGATAAACGCCATCAATAATTGATTTATTAATGATGAATGTAAGTGGATCTACAATAAGGTTACAAACTTCCTTTAACGTTTCCGAGGTTAGCCCATCTCTCCCTGGTGATTTCTTAGGTTTTAATGTTTTTATTGTTTTTATTACCTCTTCATTATTTGTGGGTGCCAATGTTAACTTATTTAATATTTTTGTTTCTTTAAATTTTGTGTTTTTATTGACTTTTATGGTCTTTGCTAAATCCGCAGCCACATTGGTGAAATATGTATTAAAACAATTAGCAATATCTTTATCGGATGTAATTGTTATATTTTCAGCTGTTTTTATTTGTTGTAGATTAGATTTTTTATTGTTGTTGTTGTTTATACATTTTACACATTTCCATAACGGTTGTTTACATTGTCTGGTAGTTGCTTTTTATAGTAATTTATTTTGGCTGTTCTTAAAGTGTTGATTAAGGTATAGGAGTAAGTTTTAAATTGCTGCTTTTTATTTAAACTATTTGGATTTTGTCGCATTATTTTGTATAATTTATTTTTGTAGTTAACTGATTTTATGAGCCCACTTGTCATCCAGTCCTTTCTTTTTATTTCGTTACGTTTTAGTTTTTTTTTTTTTTTTGTACAAATGCTCACAAGTTCTTTCAGGTGTGTAACAAATTTCGTAGCGGCACAGTTAACGTTTTTCTCAGTGTATATGTTTTCCCAGTTGGATTTTTGAAGTTCACGTTTCAAGGATTCGACATCAAGGTAAGATTTAAATTTATCGACTTTGTTTTGGCTATCAGAAACATTTAAAAAGCTTTTTATTTGTAAAATCTGCGAGAAATGATCGGAAATTTTTGGATTCAAAAACTATGGATGTGAATGGTATTTGCGAATTTTGTTGTTTAAGAAAAATATGGTCAATACAAGATTTTCTTGTACGGCCCTACCTAGTACTACTATTAATTGTCGAGATAAATCTCCATTCTTGTAGACAGTTTAAGTACTCGTTTTTCACCTCTGTGTCCTGCAATAAATCTATATTTATATCACCCAAAACAATATTAAAGTCGTACGTTTTCAACTGCACTTTTTCCAAGTAGGTGTAGAAGCTACGAAGAAAATCACATTCATTTGTTAGGGCGATCTATATAGAGCTATCAATCGAAACGATGTGTTCTTCTTATTCACCGTTAAGTAGATAAGTCTGCTATTAAAAAACTCAACGATATCAAATGAATAACTCAAATCGCTACGAACATAAATTGCAACTCTGTCGTTTTTATTATAATTACTGGAATTGTAGATTAGGTTATATAGTTATATAAATTTAAAAGTGACAAGTTTGTTAATTTGTGAGTTTCTGTTAATATCACACATTCAAAGTTACGATCCAAAGCTGTTAAAGTTACTGCTAGTTCATCAAAATGGTAGGATAAACTATTAATATTGTTGTGAAAAACTTCGAATGTATGTATTCTAGCAACTTGGCTTAATGCACGTTGACATTCTTTCACTGAACTACAAATTTCATTGCATGTATTCAAAATTCTGAATGTATTCATCCATTCCTACCTACTATCATACATACATATCAACTACCTATTATGAAAAAAAAGTTAAACCCACCTAGATCAAGAAACAATATGATGTAAAAATAAATACAATGTAACTGTTTTGCAAAAAACAGAAATGAGAAAAAACACAGAAACCTTATCTTCTTTTTTTATTAGATCTGGTGTGAGTGCCAATTGGGCTGGGAGTTTTGCTTTTCTTTCGTTTTTTCTTGGCTTTTTCTGGACGACTCTCTTCTGTTTTATTGGTCTTGTTCCTATACTCCTCTTCGATTACTTCTTCCTCCTCCTCTTCCAAGGATGATGGTTCTGAATAATTGTTCGACTCACCAGAGTCTGTATCAGTGTCCGACTGTTCTAGTTGTTTTGCAGTATAAATCTTTCCCTCTAGTTCCAAAGTTAATCCTTTTATTTTAACTTGCTTCTCTTCGTCCCTAGCTTTCTTAAAATGTTTTTTTTTATAATTTTAAGCTCTTCCCTGTCTTCGTTGCACAAATCATTAGAAATGGCGTAAACTGTGTCTTTAAGGGCTCTAAGCTTTTCTGCGTCTTTGAATAGTTCGGACTTTTTTTAAATACGACAGAAACTCAATAAGAATTGGTGAGTCTCCCTTTCTTCCCAATTTATATAAATTGTTTATATCGGATTCTCTAATGTTTGTGCCGAAAAGTTCGTTAAGCTTGGCAAGGGTGTCCTTTATCAAGCTGTTGCAATTTTCAGAATTAAATCCAAAGAGTAAAATGTTGTTACGTCTGATTTTGCGTTCAAAATAAACGTTCTTTTCATGTATTTTTTCTATTTTCCGATTAAATGAATTAAATTTCCTTGTAACATTCGATTCACTTTCTTGTATTTGCTTTGTTAACTTTTGGGTTTGTGCATTGTTTTGTTCAGTTAACCGTTTGTATATACATATCCGAAAATGTTTTCAGCTCCCCCATTAAATACAACTGCGATGTATTCAGTACAAAAGCCTTGAAATATTAAATGAAGCCGTATCTTCCCGCTTCCCAATTCTCAAGCGTACTAATTTTTCTATGGTACTATCAAACTATTTTTACCAGGTGGGCTGTACCTGGCGTGCGATACTGAACCTTATGATATCGCTTTACTCGGAGAATTATGATAAGAAAATTGTTTTTTTTCTTTCTGAATAGAAGGTTTTTCCACGTACCTTTTAGTGAGTTTTGAAGCACTTTTAGCACTGTTTTCACTGATATCACTTTTGTTTTTAGATTTTTGCATTAAACACATTAAAACCATCCTAAAACAGGAGCAAAAAATATTGTCACACATGGATGCAGATATAAATTTCATAAGCCTGCAGATATAAATTTCATATTATCATGTTTTTCCTTCCTCGTAAGTGTATTCCTCTGGAAGTCTTTTTTTATGGAAAAAGTACATACAACGTTTTCAGATTTTGAGTTTTTCCTGTGAAAAAGATTTTAATATAATGATTCCGTCAAATACCAAAATTTTGTCAACATGCTATAAATCAGTTGAAAGGCCTTTTCAAGTACTATCATATGACATAAAAATCCAAAATGGCGGCTATAAGAAAAAATGAAGTTGCTTCTAGTATTATGAAAACAAAAGAATATCAATGATTTCAAACATTATGAAAAAAATTCTCTTAAAAATGTTTCCCAATAATGTCAAAGTTTGACAGATGTCAAATTAATAGATTTTGAGATACGAACAAAAATTAAATTCGACGATAATCAGTTTTTTTTCAATTATTTCACAAACAAATAATTTTCACTGAAATTCAAAAGCAGATTCTTAATTAGCATGAACTTCTCTAGAACTTTCCCAATTCAACTAACTGTCTTTCTCTTATAATAACCGAAATGCCAGTGGTGAGGATCTAAATTGGGACACACTGTATAGGGATTGCGAAAAAGCAAACGTAAGTTTGGGTTAGTAAAAATGTCTAAACAGCTGATACTTGAGAACGATTTTGCAAACTCACGTTTCTATACATTTTTCACGACCTGGCTTGACTTTTTTTGCATATGCCCTATAAGTATACACAGATCAAGCATAAAAACAAAATTAAAATTGCCCAAAAATGGTTAGTACTGGTGGTTTTGAAATTATGCGGATTGACTTGTTTTGCAAATGTCGGGACGGTGATTCTACTTTATTGATTAGTGCCCTTTGGCTACAGATACGGTACTTTTCAGACTTATATTTTGGTAAATGAACAGTAGCAATTTGATATGTTTTGTTAACTTTGTAGCCTGAAATCATTATTGTCAACCATAAACATGAATAATTAAGGAATAATAATTTTTACCAAAAATTGTTTAGGGTGAAAAAAATTTACTAAATGCAAAAATAATGGTAAAATGAACTAAAATTTCTCTGGAGAAGTAGTAAAAAAGGTGAAAATTAACATTCTATGTGAAATTCATTCAGTCATTGGTACTTCGTATGTCCCCCATGAGCACGCAAAACTGCTGCTACCCTTCGGGGCATGAGGTGCAACAAGTTTGGAATAAAGTCCTGAGGAATAGCTTCTCATTCTTCCCTAATTGCAATGTTCTTCTCTCTAAAAAACTTCTTCTTGCCCGTGCCTTGCTTTATGCGGAGTAGCGTTCTCATCGACAAAGATGAATCCTTCGCCGAAGTTTCGCCACCCTATAGAGTAACACCACCCCCACAAATCGCAATCCTAGCTTCTATATTCTCCTCACGGTACTTTTCAATTCTGATCTAAAACAACAAACATTCCTACTTGTTAATTACTACAATATAAGTATGATAATCATACTCGATATCGAGTGATAGTCTATGATGATGATGACAATATAAGTCTGAAAACTAGCCAAAGGGAACTAATCAACAAATTAAAATCATCGTCCCGACGTTTGAAAAGCAAGTTTGGAAAACAAATCAGTCCGCCTAATTTTAGAATCACCAGTAGGTACTAACCATTCTTGGGTAATTTTAATTTTGTTTTCAGGCTTGATCTGTTTAAACTAAAAGGGCATATGCAAAAGGGTCAAGCCAGGTCGTGAGAAATGTAGAGAAACTAATGAGTTTCCAAAATCGTTCCCAAGTAACAGCCGTTTAATCATTTTTAGCAAACTTAAGTTTACTTTTCGGTGATCCCTGTATAATGGAAAGTTTTTAATTAAAAAATAGCAGAGTTGAGTTCCATTAAATGAACTTCCAAAATCGTTTAAGCATTTTTGGCAAACTTACGTTTACTTTTTCCCAATCCCTATGTAATGAGAAAATTTCAATTTTCAAAAAATTGCCCATTAATTTTCATAAAATGAGCTTTCACAATGGGAAAACCTTCCACAATCCATTGAACCGTTAGCCATTTCGTTTCAACATTTTGGTGCTAAAATTGCTCTTCAGGACGCTCTAATGCAAAAACGAAAAATCGTCCCGAGTTTTTAGCCTAAAGTATCACTTAACCAATTTTCAAAGAAAATAAAAGGCATACAGACCAATTTGAATAGGTTTGAAAAGAACAATTATGATAATTTCCCTAAATTGAGGTTTATAATTTTCTCGACTCCCGTATAGTATGAACAGTGCCACCTGCAGAAAACGCAAGCGAGTCGTGAAACCTCTAAAAAAATAAGCCTTGGTACTAGATACAACCGTTTTCAAGCTATAGCCCTTTAAACATTGTGCTTACAAGATTTTGCCAACTTTGTAGTTAAGTAGTGTATTCACTGGCAAATGGCACTTATAAAAAAACTAAAAACTGGCCAATAAATCTGGAGATATTGATATTACCTTTCCAATCGCCTATACGATAATCCGAGAAAAAAAAAATGCCAATATGTATCAGTCTATTATTCACCCTGTATAACTCGAAAAATGCATTCCTTCAAAAACATTATTTTTTTCCCACCTGATATACAGCATGAACTTTCGAATACCAAAAACCGCACAAAAAAAATTAAAAAGGTTGATTATGGTGCTAAAAATTGCCTATCCCGTTTTTTTTTTTGCAAGCAGTTTAGTTAAAGAATGAGATGGCCGATATGAGGCCCAGAATCTTATTGTTATTCCATTATTTCATAGTAGTGCGATTTTCGATGGAAATTTAGCTGCCATCGAAATGAATAAATCAAACTTAATTTTCATATGTATGCATGTATGTATGCATATATATAAACCTCTCTATACCGGGATGGCCATACTAGATATATCGAGAACTCTCATGTATAATTTTCATTATCAATATATTTTGGAGACAAGTAGTAAATCGAATTAAACTCATGGAGAAATTTGTTGCGATGACGTGTATGAATTTGATACCCCCGACTATGATCCCAATAATAATTATAAAATTCTACAAGTTAATAAAAAAGTTCTATGTCTTATGAAAGAAGAGGCAAAGGGCCAAATAATGACACTTTGTTGGACAAAGATCTAAAATGTACTCGTTTGAACTTCAGGGTGGAAAAGGTGTAAAAAAATCAAAGGGCGTCAGTACAATGTGGTCAAAAACAAAATTTCTTTCAATGATTACGTAAATAGCGTGAAGATGAAGGAGCAAAAATACATTTCACAATCCTGTACCCATTCCATCAAACAGAACGTTTTTGTATTGGTTAGATTAAAATTACTCTAAGTCCTTTTGACCACACCACAAGGATGCATTTTAAAAAACAGTCACGATACTCTCTCGTGGGGGCTTTATGATGCATTATCTGCAGCAGCCATTTTGTGGCAGATGAAAAAAATTTCCAGTAGTTCAATCAAACGGCGTTTTAAAGTGGAAAGTTTTATTGTAATCGTTTCCAATGGTTAATTTTATGTTTTTTGGGATGCTGAACACGAATCTGAAGCTATCCAACAAAAATTTTCGCGGCAAATATGAGAAATCATCAAAAAAACACTTAAAATAATGTTTTCTAGTGGTTCTCAGCTTATAACTGGTAAATCAAGCTAATTACGCAAAAAGTGGCTGTGTAGTAAAATAAAGAGGAGACAATTATCTACAATTTACCTTCCACAGCATTTTTTGTACATGGTATGGTTTCCTTGAAAAAGAGTATTGAAGTATCGAGGAACTTCAGTAATTTTTGAAAAATAGCCAAAAAAATACATTCATCTATATTTCTAATTCATGTAGTTAAATTATATTCTATAAGCTGATAAAAGACGCAAATTTCGTGTATTTATGTATATGATTCTCCATGATTTCTCCAAGGCAGCTTTCCAGAGTTCTTCTACGCCTGAAAAAAATTATCATTGACGTGATTCTAGATTGCCGAAGCAGTCTATGTCGAAAAGTGAAGTTGAAATTTAATTCCAAAATAAGACCCAAAGCATTCCTTGACAAAATATTTGATCAAGATAAAGAGCCCTACATGTTTCGAAGTTAAAAAACCTCAACATAGTTATATCCCGTGAGAACTCCAATTCAGCATTTATATTGTTCTATTCAGCTTATTTTTAATATTA